TCAATCGCAGCTCACTACACGATGGTCTATCGAGGCGGTGTATAGAACTAAGAGAGGAGTCATACAATGAAGTTCGTTTCAGTTAAAATGTGTCCTCAACATAGTGCTTTTTCAAAATTCCACTTAAATTGAGCAATCAATTAATTGTTCAGTTCATTCACCTTTATCATGTGATGCCACCGGTTTGGGATTTACTGAGTGATCAACAGAAAATGACCTTTATAACTTTCCTATAGAAACTCTATAGAAAATTAGCTCTATAGACTCTATTCAGGACTTTCTATAGAAACTCTATGGTATTTCTATAGAATACATTAATAGAACTTTTTAATGGCATTCTATACATTCTATATACTCTATAAAAATATAGAAATCTATAGAATTTCTATAAAATTCTGACATTTTCTTAGGGGTTAGGAATAAAGTCTTTATTAATTTAGTTCAAAAGCTGTCTCTCATTTTAGTAAATATTACCGGATTGAACGAAAGATGAAGAAGAAATGATATATATAAAACCAGGTTATGTGGATTCCTGATAAGAAAAGCAAACACAGTATTCTTATCAACGTGAAGAGCTATTGAGCCTCATCCACTGTTTTACAATGAGGAGGACAAGATATGACGAGCATGAGATGGTCTTTTAACCTCATATAACTTTATTGCCGTTTCTGCGCAAAGTATTATCTGCATTTTATCACCTGAACTGATAATATTTCCGATGTACACTAATGGTACTATCAGAAAAAAAAGAAACAGTTCTTTTCTTATAATTTCTTCATTAAATATTATCTTAATTACTGAAACTACTCTCAACGTCTCTCAAACTGCTACTACTAAATAATAGAAATATATTACAGTCAATACTTTATTAATTCTTACCCGAATTACTTTAATTAATCTCCCGTCTATTTTATTATTATTATTTAATATCGAAAAGATAGGCTTCACTTCTGATCCAGTGTTTTCATTTCTTCAATAAACGTATTCTCATGCCTAAACTACTCTCTCTTTCACCTGCTACTTAATATAGAAAAGATAATTTCTTTCGTTCTATTGTTATATGGTTATCTTTCTTATAAAACCTCTTATCCTGACTCTCTCCGTCTCTTAAACTACCACTACTATCGCTATCATTTCTTCAGTAACTCATACCCTAATACTTAAGATCCTCTCCTCCGTGTCTTAAACTACACCTACTATTGCTTTGATTTCTAAAATAACTTGTACCCTCATACTTTAAAACTCCTCTCCGTCTATTAAAAAAAAAAAAAACTACTACCGTTACAACATTTCTTTTAAAAAAAATTATCCTTATACTTAGATTCCTCATCTCATATATTAAACTGCTACTACTCTTATTATCATTTTCAATAAATATACTATAAAACTATGACCTACTACGATTTCTTCAATAACTCTTAAACTAACCAATTAAACTCCTCTCCCCGTCTCTTAAACCAACACTACCCTTACCCTCTTCAATACCTCGTATCCTCCTACTAAAACTACACCCCCACCCCTTATCTCAAACAATTATAACGGCAAACTATAACTCCTTACTGAAGCTCCTCTCACCTCTTCCTCAAAACTACCCAATCCCCATATCCCAGACAACTATAACGATCATTAGACACTTACTGAAGCTCTTCCTCTTCACCGCTCTTATTCATACTACCCAGTCCCCTTATCTCAACCAAACTATAACGAACAACTATAACGAACAACTATAACGACAACTATAACTCCTTACTGAAGCTCCTCTCCACCGCGTCCTCTTCCTCAAACTACCCAATCCCCATATCTCAGACAACTATAACGACCATTAGACCACTTACTGAAGCTCCTCTCCACCGCGTCCTCCCCGCCGCGTCATCCCACAGGAGAGCTGATACACAGGAAGGAGAGGAACGAGTGGCTGGTGGATTCCATCTGGTTCCAAGTGTACAAGTGGATCCTGGAACTCTTTCTCAAGCTCCTGCCGGCGTTGGTCCTCGTGTACCTGAACGTGAGAATTATCCGCACTTACAAAGCCGTGTGCGAGAAGAGAAGGAAGATGACGAAGAAGGTGAGATATTAGTGATGATTTTGGGGGATAATGGTATGCGTGTGAAATAGAGAGTGAGAGAGAGGGGAGAGAGAGAGAGAGAGAGAGAGAGAGAGAGAGAGAGAGAGAGAGAGAGAGGGGGAGAAGGAGAGAGGGGGAGAGAGAAGGAGAGAGGAGAAGAGAGAAGAGAGAGAGAGAGAGAAAAGAGAAAGAGACACCTGGGGCTCGAGGACGGCCTCCATCTCGGGCTCGAGACGGCCTCCATCTCGGGCTCGAGGACGGCCTCCATCTCGGGCTCGAGGAAGGCCTCCATCTCGGGCTCGAGGACGGCCTCAATCTCGGGCTCGAAGACGGCCTCCATCTCGGGCTCGAAAACGGCCTCCATCTCGGGCTCGGCCTCCATCTCGGGCTCGAGGAAGGCCTCCATCTCGGGCTCGATCCATCTCGGGCTCGAGGAAGGCCTCCATCTCGGCTCGAGGAAGGCCTCCATCTCGGGCTCGAGGCCATCTCGGCTCGAGGAAGGCCTCCATCTCGGGTCGAAACGGCCTCATCTCGGGCTCGAGGACGGCCTCCATCTCGGGCTCGACCTCCATCTCGGGTTCGAAGGCCTCCATCTCGGGCTCGAGGACGGCCTCCATCTCGGGCTCGAAGGACGGCCTCCATCCTCGGGCTCGAGGACGGCCTCCATCTCGGGCTCGAGAAGGGCCTCCAGGTGAAGGCATTTAGTGATGATTTGTTGAGAAGTGAGTGAGAGAGAGAGAGAGAGAGAGAGAGAGAGAAAGAGAGAGAGAAGAGAGAGAGAGAGAGGAGAGAGAAGAAGAGAGAGAGAGAGAGGAGGGGGGGGGGAGAAGGAGAGAGGGGAGAGGAAGAAGGAGAGAGGGGGAGAGAGAGAAGGAGAGAGAAGGGAGAGGGGAGAGAGAGAGCGAGAGAGGGGAGAGAAGAGAAGGAGAGAGGGGAGAGAGAGAAGGAAGAGAGGAGGGGAAGGAGAGAGGGAAGGAGAGGAAAGGGGAGAGAGAGAAGGAGGGAGGAGAGAGAGAGAAGGAGAGAGGAGGGAGAGAGAGAAGAAGAGGGAGAGAGAGAAGGAGAGGGGAGAGAGAGAAGGAGAGGGGAGAGAGAGAAGGAGAGGGGAGAGAGAGAAGGAGAGAAGGGGAGAAGAGAGAAGGAGAGAGGGGAGAGAGAGAAGAGAGAAGGGAAGAGGGGAGAGAGGAGAGAAGGAGAGAGGGGAGAAGAGAGAAAGGAGAGAGGGGAGAGAGAAGAAGGAGAGAGAGGGGAGAGAGAAGAAGGAGAGAGGGGAGAGAGAGAAGGAGAGAGAGAGGGAAGAGAGAGAAAGAAGAGGAGGGGGAGAGAGAGAGGGAGAGGAGAGAGAGAAGGAGAAGAGGGAGAGAAGGAGAAGGAGAGAGGGGAGAGAGAGAGAGAGAGGGGAGAGAGAGAAGGAAAGGAAGAGAAGGAGAGAGGAGGGGAGAGAGGAAGAAAGAGAGGGGGAGAGAGAGAGGAGGAGGGGAGAGAGAGAAGGGAGAGAGGGAGAGAGGGGAGAGAGGAGAGGAGAGAGGGGAGAGAGAGAAGGAGAGAGGAGAGAGAGAAGGAGAGGGAGAAGAGAGAAGGAGAGAGGGGAGAGAGAAAGGAGAGAAGGAGAGAGAGGAGAGAGGAGAGGAGAGAAGAGAGGAGAGAGAGAAGAGAGAGAGAGGAGAGAAGAGAGAGAGAGAGAGAGAAGAGAGAAGAGACAGACACCTGGGGCTCGTGGACGGCCTGCATCCCGGGCTCGAAAACGGCCTCCATCTGGGCTCGAGGACGCGCTCCTCCTCCGGAGCCTCCACATACAAAACATGCCCCACCCCATACACAACACACAAACCAACCCACACACCACACACAACCACCGCCACTCCACAGACCCTACAAACAAACAACATCCCCACCATACACACACACAACCAACAACCAACCCACACACCCACACACACACACACACAACCAACCCCACATCCCACATACACACACACACAACCAACCGCACTCCCCACACACACCTACAACAAACAAATTCCCCCCCCATACAACACACACACACACACAAAACCCACACCCCACCTCACACAACACCAAACCACCCACACACCCACACACACACACACACAACCAACCCCCACTCTCCACACACACCTACAAACAAACAAACATCCCCCCATACACACACCACACACACAACCAACCCACACACCACCCACACACACAACCAACCCCCACTCCCACACTCACCTACAAACAAACAACATACCCCCCCATACACACACAAACACACACACACAACTACCCAACACACACACAACCAACCCGCACTCCCACACACACCTACACAAACAAACATCCCCCCTAAAAACACACAACAAACACACACACAACCACCCCCCACCCAAACAAACACCAAACTATACAAACAACAACAACCCCGCCCTCCCCACACACACCTACAAAACAAACAAATAACATAACCCCTCCCCACCCCCAACACTCTCTCTCAAACCCCCGCCACAAACCCCATTTCCTCAAATAATCCGTCTTGCAAAAACCACACGTCACTTTGTTCTTCTTGGAAATATTGCAAAGGGACGAAATCTGCACACGGCAATACCCGCGGAAGGAGTCGAGCAAATCTTCTAAAATGACGGGAGTGGACAAGGAATCCGCGGGGAGAAGAGACCGGATTACTGCGCGCTACCAATTGCACACAAGGGATTTGTTTGTTTTATATTTGTTCTAAAAATGGTTTTTATTGATTTTATTTTTTTCTATATTATTATATTTTTTAGACTGTTTTAATTCATTTAATCTATTTACCTTTTATTTGCCGGGCTCGAGGACGGCCTCCTTCTCCGAAACCTGCATCTCGGCTGAGGACGGTCTCCATCTCGGGCTCGAGGACGGCCTCCCTCCTCCGGAGCCTGCATTACGGGTCGAGGAACGGCCTCCATCTCGGCTCGAGGACGGCCTCCCTCCTCCGGAGCCTCATTTCGGGCTCGAGGACGGCCTCCTCCTCCGAGCCTGCCGGGATCGAGGACGGCCTCCATCTCGGGCTCGAGACGGCCTCCTTCCTCTCGGGCTCGAGGAACGGCCTCCATCTCGGGCTCGAGGACGGCCTCCTCCTCCGAGGCCTCATCGGGCTCGAGACGGCCTCCTCCATCTCGGGTCGAGGACGGCCTCCATCTCGGGCTCGAGGACGGCCTCCATCTCGGGCTCGAGGACGGCTCCTCCTCTCCGGGCTCGAGGACGGCCTCCTCTCCATCTCGGGCGCCTCCATCTCGGGCTCGAGGACGGCCTCCATCTCGGGCTCGAGGACGGCCTCCATCTCGGGCTCGAGGACGGCCTCCATCTCGGGCTCGAGGACGGCCTCCATCTCTCGGGGTCGAGGACGGCCTCCATCTCGGGCTCGAAGACGGCCTCCATCTCGGGCTCGAGGACGGCCTCCATCTCGGGCTCGAGGACGGCTTCCATCTCGGGCTCGAGGACGGCCTCCATCTCGGGCTCGAGGACGGCCTCCATCTCGGGCTCGAGGACGGCCTATCCATCTCGGGCTCGAGGACGGCCTCCATCTCGGGCTCGAGGACGGCCTCCATCTCGGGCTTCATCTCTTCTCGAGGACGGCCTCCATCTCGGGCTCGAGGACGGCCTCCTCCTCCGGAATCTCCACAAACAAACATCCCCCCCACACACACACACACAACCAACCCCACACTCCCCGCACACACTACAACAAACAAACCATACCCCCCAACACACACACACAAACCACATCACACCAACCAACCACACACCCACACAACACACACAACACACACAAACCGTCACCCACACACACACACAAACACACACAACCAACCCCACACACCCACACACACACCATCAACCAACCCCACAACACCCACATACACATTGGACAATATCAATGCCCACGCTATAAAACAAACAGATATACCACACCCAACACACCACAACCAAGGAGTGGACAAGGAATCCGTGGGAAGACAGAGACCGGATTACTGCGCGATTACAATTGCACATAAGGGATTTGTTTGTTTTTGTTTGTTTGTAGATTTTTATTTTTATTTTTTATTCATTTTTTTTCATAGAATGGATTTTTTTTTTTCATTTTTTAGACTGGTTTTAATTCATTTAATCTATTTACCTTTTTGCTTTTTTTTCGTTTTTTGAAATTCGGTCTGAATGGTCAGAAAAAGGTGCGTTTCTCGGAATACATTTGTTTTGTTTTCTTTTTTTTCGAAAATTGCTACACAAAATCGAGCAGGAGAATAAGAAAAAGTAAGAAAAGAGACGGAAGAGAGAGAAACGGACAAGGATAATAAAAAGAAAAAAAGAAAAGAAAAAAATAGTGAAAACGAATGCGTGATTTATATATATATCAAAGTTTACCAAGATACCTGTTGTGTCTTACTGCCAGAGCCGTTGATTCACGATATACATATAGAAAAAAGAAAATGAAAGAAAAAAAATAAAGACAAAGAAAAACAGGAGGAAGAAGAAGAAGACAATAAAAAAAAGAAAAAAAAGAAAGAAAAGGAAAACGGATAAAGAAAAATATGATAAAAGATACAAAAAAAAAAAAAAGAGAAAAAAGATAAAGCGAATAATATGAAATAATTTATATACATATATATATATATATATATATATATGATAATGCTGCTGACCAAAAGAAAAAAAAAAGAAAAACAAAAGAACAAAATCAAAAGCAGTGATAAGAGTAACAAAAACAGCAAACGAAATCAAAATTCGAAATCAGGAATTAACATGAATACCCTGAATGCAATATTTACGTCAAAGAAAACAAAATTACTCCCCTCTCGCTTCCTTTGTTCTACGTAATTTCATTGTTCATCGCATTTAGCTGATCAGAATGTTCACGGTTTGTTCACCTTGTTCTAGATTCATCCATGCATCTCGGGCTCGAGGATGGCCTCCATCTTGGGCTCGAGGACGGCCTTCTCCTCCAAAGCCTCCATCTCGGG